GATCAGGATCAGGATCAAATTGATCAGGTGCAGGCAAAGGGTAAGTTTTTTCTAATTCTTTATATTATTTGTTTACATATTTCACATTTTTCACTTATTTCGCTTTAATTTTTACAGCCGAGAAGCAAATTGACAGTCCCTCAAGCAGTAAAACTCAACCGAACTACTGCAATGAGATGGACAATGCATCTCCAGCTGATTATGTTGATGTTAACTTAACCTACGAAACAGTAGAACGTTTAAGCCTCAATCTTGCCGAGGAAATCATTAGCATTGATGCTGAGCGCTCCAAGGAGTTCGAACGCCGTTCTGCGTCCAAGACGCGCAGCTTATCTTCTTCTAAGAACGCGACTCAGCCAACAGCTAGGTCATCGCTCTCCAAAAGCCATATACGCAAACTCACCTATTCTAACGAAAAGTTAGATGAGAAAAATCCGCCAATGCACACGCTGCGTCGAGTCAAAAGTTGTGGTGGCTTTCCGAAACGTGATCTTGAAAGACAACCAAAGAACAGGGCCGCAACCACAGAGATACAACTCACGACTGAACCATCATCGTCACCGAAAAATCTTGTGGAGGCACCTAAAGAGCAAGAGCCAAAAATAGAAAAAGTAATGAAACCCCAACAGGAGAAGGTAAAACGTGGGCGTGGTCGGCCTAAAAAGAAGCGTAATCAAAAAGCGGAGTTAGCTAAGCTTGACGTGTCACAAAGTCCAAATATAACTGTCAGTGTAGAGGAAAACGTAGACTCTATGTGCACGACTTCTGAATCAAAGTCTTCGAAGGAAACTTTGGAGGAACGGCAACACGAGTTGAAAATAAATGACCAAGAAGAAGTCAAAGAAACAAATATTGATTCAACTTCTGCTACGAGCGAAGGCAATAAAATTGAAATTAAAGCAACTGAAATGGAGGTGGATAATGAAAAAGATAACTCAAAACGGACAAGTGCTGGGATGCTTCTGAATACAGACGGTGCTGATGGGCTAAATAATGCGAAATCATGTGGAAACGAAGGGGAAGAGGAAACTGAAGCATTGAGTGCAAGTAAAAAAGAAACAAATGGAAGTATAGAAATGTCGGGAAATATATGGAATCAAGGAAAAGTAGGCACAAGCTCTCCAGATGAAATTGAAATCCCAAATGACAACAAAATAAAGTCCACTGATATTTCAACAAAGAATATTAACAGTTCGATTGAAGACAAAAGAGATAACGAGCAGGAGACTGATGGAACGGGTGATGACAAAATGGAAAAAGTTGACACAAACGCATCTCAAATAATGAATCCTGAGGCAGATAGTGAAAAGAATGATAAGGAAGTGACCGCAGATGACATTGATAAACAACTAATGTCAAATTCAAACGTGGATTCAGTCAAAAAGAAACGTCGCTCGGCAAACAAATCGAGAAGAAGCGAAACTCGTAATTCTTCTGGAGCTGCCGCACCAGCACCACGGCGCAGCAGTCCTCGGATTACAGAAAAGTCAACCGCTGGAGGAACTCAAAAGGTTGATAAAGAGAAATCTAAATCTCATTCAGGCACTAAAACTCTAAAAAAATCCACAGCAATTAGTACTGTGGACTCAAGTTCACAAAACGTAAGTCATAAAGCCTCTGTAAAGAAGAGACCGTCACACAGCTCCACATCAACAACACCTAAAGCTAAAGATAAGTCCACAAAGGATAAGAAATCGCGGCGTACAAAGTCTAAGCCAAAAATTGAAAGTTCGTCAACCAAGCAGATGGAGACTATCGAATCAAATTTGGCCTTAATGATGGAATCTGCATCACCTCTGGCCGATAATGATTCCAATGCAGCCAAGGCAATTGATATTAAACAGAATTCAGAACAAGATATTGAGACTCCCTCATCTTCAAATACTCACCCTAGAATAGATGTTAACGCTATAGAATCCTCAAGGGAGGCAGTATTGAATCAAACATTGTCCGATCTCGAACTTCTTACAACATTGGATTTAAATGAGAATTCAACTTATAGCGAGCAGCAACCAAATATTCCAGATACCCCTTCAATTCCAACCGTTAATACTATTGAAGATCAAAATGATTTATACAAATCTCTTGATTTGGATATTGTAGTCAATAAGCAGGAAAACTTGTGCGAGGAGTCGGTCGTAGCTAAACAGCGTGCTGCAGTACCTCGTGGATTAAGGAATCTCCTGCACGAAGCAGGAACTGAAAGCCAACACGAGAGAGCAGGAAGTCGTGCCCGATCCACTCGCTCTAGAGTGGGTACGCCCGCTCCTCCAAAGTCGAAAAGATCAAGGATTAAGGAAACAATATTATCTGAGACTCCAATCAAAAAGCAGACCAATGACAAACCAGAAACGAAATCAGATCACAGTGCAACCTGCAGCGAATCGCCTATAGAGGAGCAAAAAGTAGAAATTTCCAACATAAATATAAGCGAAACCAATCAAAATATTAATGATGATGCAGTTGAGAAAGCCGTTGCTAAGGATCAATCAGAGCAGCCACCTGTATGCAATGATATTCGACATGCAATTGAAAAAGGTGGTCAGGCGTGTGGTCACAGTACGCCCAGCACTTG